TGAAATAAGCAAGTTGATGCCTACTTCCGGTATAATCAGGAGTGTGGCCACACATCTTGAAAATATTTTAGATCGTTTGCCCCCAATGACTTCAGCTCACTGTTCAAATTTCAAATTTTTGCTAATTATAGTTTGCCAGATATCGATTGCGGCGGCTGCCGATGAGATACCCTGTATTACTCCGGATGTAAAATTATGAATATTTGAAATATAGTAGAGCAATTTGTGTTGAATTGGCTTGTGAATAGCATCTAGTGGCACTGGAAATTTTAGTATGATCACAATTTGATTTTCTCGTACCACTAGGTAGCTTCCGTCGGAGACTAGTATGTGTTTGTGCGTTGGCAATAAGCTGATTCGGTTGGAGGAGTTACTTATCGAATATGTATTAAAGTGCAGCGTTATCTTGTAGTGTTGTTCTTTAGCATGCCATTTTGGACACTATATTATGTTGACTGTTACAAATAAAGTGACAAAAATGTATTTTCATGGTTTAATTTAAACAATCGTTCAACTCTGACTATCGCAGAACGTTTGCTTTGTTATTCCGTTTAGTTTCTTCCTTTTAGCTACTACTAGTTTCTTAACTTTTATTTAGGATTTACCCGTTTCTTCAACAAAGTTCTACCTTTTTAATGTGTTCCATGTTGGCTCGAACCATGTCCACAGTTAAACAGCACTTTCATTTCGCTTAATTTATTTTGCTGCGCACATCTCGAGTAATTTGTTCTCGTTCTTCGCGATCTTTTTAGGGCCTGCCGCAGCTCCAGACATCTTTACCGAATCAGGCGAAAGATAAAGTCGCCTACGATCAAGAGCCTCTAGCTCACGAAAAGCACACCAGTTTATCGAAAGCTCCGTCAAAATCGGCGAACCAAACCACTGGCTGGTTCGGCGGCATCTTCAGCAAGTTGTCTATGAAGCCGAAGAACCAGATGAAATTGCCTGATGACAAAAATCCCAAGGTAAACCCCGTTCTAGTGATCACTTTTCAAGCCTAATCGAACATTTCTAGATCGTTTGGGATGAAAACAAGAAGAGGTGGACTAACGTGGACGCTGATCCGAACGAGACGGCAAATGAATTTAAGCCGCCGCCCAAAATGCTCCAGTTTCAGTCAGTTGGAGGGTCAGGTATGGACAGTGCTAGCACGAGTAGTTTGGGCTTCAGCTCAGTAGATCGCGCCAGTTTTACCCCCTCCGGACCCACGTCACTGCCTCTCTTAGGTGCTGCTGTTAAAGAGGACGTACCAACGTCGAACCCGTCTTTGTCCAATATGTTCAAAATGCAAAAACGACGAAGTAAGCTACTGGATCGGGTGCGTGCTACCAGTGCTAAAGATTGCTGATTTGCAGATTTAAAAAATTCCTATGTGGATGTTTTCAAACAGAACGAGGCGAAAACCAACAAAGAGCAGGCCCCTTTGGTTGCCCTGGAGCAGGTGCCTTTGGTTGCTCCTACCCAAATAAACTTCTTTGTTCCGCAAGCGATATCGGATGCAAACGCTCCAGTGGACTTTTTAACACCGGGCGGCGTTCTAGCTCCCATAGGCGATCAACAGGTAAAGTAAATGTGTTAGAATTGAATAACAGTTGTTTTTGTCTGAGAACGATGTTAGGAATATACAGGGTTATTCACGCTGTACGGCACGGAAGTTTGCGGCTAAACCGTTTGATTTTTAAAAAGTATTATTTTATGAATTGTCCGACGGTGGACATTTTCAAAGGCGATGAGGCAGTGGGCGAAGTGATCTCCCGTGCTTTCCGACTCAGTCTTAGTCGGAATAAATAGCTAAAATGAAAAAAATAAATAAATAGCCACTTAAAGTTCTTATTTGATTAGTTTAAATTTGTGGACACCCTGTATAAAATGGTAAGTTTATTATCATTGGGATATAAAATCTGATTTCTTGTTACACTACACTACGAATTACGTTTACATAACTTAAATATTAGATTTTGATAAAATTCGAATTATTTAAAAAACATTTAGAGACATTATAAATCTTATTAAAACAAACACTTGTTTGCTCACAGAATCCAAAAATGCAATAATATATAGGGTATATCATTTAGAAAAACACAACTTTGATACTTTTAGGGCTTTTGGGACACCCTGTACATTACAAAAATATTTTTAAAATGTGCACCCGATAGGCCTCTGTGAATTCATCAAATAATACTTTGCAAGAAACAAACGGGCTAGCCGCAAACGTCCGTGCCGTATAGCGTGAATAACCCTGTATATTGGCTTAACTTTTTTTGCATGTGTATGTTTATCACATCTTGCCTAATATTGACTCATTCCTCCCAGAACAAATAGGACCTTTCATCCGTAGAAATGCTGACGGTATCTGAAGTTTCCAGTTTTCGATAAAAATGTATTGTATGAGGAGAACTCAACCTACAGCTTGTTATTAATATATTGGTGGCTTCGATATACATATGTAAAATAAAACATTTGTTCATTGTATAATTATATACTGTTTACCTAGAAAAATAAAATAAATTATAGGCAAGGTTATCCCAGAAGCACTGACTTTTTTTCTCCCTGCCTTCCCATTTTATCTAAAGAAAGGAAACCAATTAGATTCGTCTGTTTTAAAATAGACTTTATTTTTACTGTTTAGAAGTACGCATTTAAACTAGATATAAACGCCTAACTGTAATATCTCATTTATGGCATCTTAATATACAAATAGGGGTCGCATCTAACCTAGAACGATCAAGCGTTTTTTTTGTCATCGTGCACTGTTGAGAAGAAATTTTTAGGTACATGTCAGTATAATTGGATAACAAAACCCAAAAAACATCCAACACAAAGTAGAGATCGATGAGACAGAAGTAATGCACAGGAAAGTGTAATAAAGGGAAAACAACATTCTTGATAATTAAGGTTTTCCAAATTAGCTTGAACTCGTCCTTATGTGAGCGGCATAAATTAAATGATGGAAAGGGTGAAGTGTGACCACATTTCTACCGCGAGTGCTTCAATTCCATTTCATATTAACTATAACTAAGTATGGTTTAACAAACACACTGCTAACAAACTTAAATCACTCTATTGCGACTGATTACGTACGTGGCAAATCAATCCGTCCACATCTTAGGTGTTACGTTTAGTGCTTATTTATGCTGCACCACAAATCATACATTAGACGTAAAATATGGATGGATTGGAGACGATTGCTCTAATAACACCGCCCATCCATTCATCTCAATAACGCAATGAAGACTAGCATATGACTAATATTTTCTTCCAGAAAAAGTGTAACACAGAAAAAGTATCCCGACAATGCAACAACAGGCAGAACTGACCACTAAAATTAACTTTACTTGAAGATTCATTAAAGCACCAAGCTCAATTTACACATTTTTTTGTACAATTATTTATATGTATATTATTCACACAAATAGGCACCTGAAATTACATGTCAGCGATTTGATTGAACAATCTGTTCATACTATGAAGGCTTTCACGGCCGGTTAAATCACATTTAGGAATGTTTTCCGGGCTTTGAAGCCGTGGTCTAACTAGCCAACAAAATGCACTGGATTCATTCAACAGCTGACCGAATGATGGTGGCCGAAGCAGTAGCAACTAATCGCCCAAAGAAGAAGTTTGATGCGCTGATGGAAAAGCTTCAACGATCCAGCAAAACAGGACCATCACCCGAGGAAAACCAACGGAAGATTGTAGCTAACTAAACCAGCAAGGAACTTACTGCTGACGAAAAGAGCGTGCTGGCCAAGAGGGGAAACTTTGCCATAGTACCGTCCAGGTTACCAGTAAAGGACATCATATCAAATGTAGAGAGTGGCATACGCTCGCTGCCCATTCAAACCGCAGAACAGATAAGGGCCGAGACTTCGAGAATTTTACAACGCTCAAGGCCTCCGAAGAGCAACCTCACTTCCAGTGAAAGAAAAGCCCTGAAAACCCTGAATGAGGATAGGGAGATTCTCGTGTTGCCAGCTGATAAGGGCA